CGGCACCGGGTCCCCAGCACGGCTTGGGGACGAGGTCACCAGCGCCGGGTCCCCAGGATGGTTTGGGGACAGGGTCACCAGCGCAGCACCCAGCACCATGCCATGGCACCGGGTCCCCAGTGTGGCACTGTTTGGGAATGGGGTCACCAACACCAGGTCCCCAGCTCGGCTTGGGCACCAGGTCCCCAGCATGGCATGGCTTGGGGACAGGGTCCCCAGCAAGGGGTCCCCAGCACGGCTTGGGGACAGGGTCACCAGCGCAGCACCCAGCACCATGCCATGGCACCGGGTCCCCAGGATGGCACCGCCTGGGGACAGGGTCACCAGCACCAGGTCCCCAGCATGGCTTGGGGACAGGGTCACCAGCACGGGGTCCCCAGGATGGTTTGGGGACAGGGTCACCAGCGCAGCACCCAGCACCATGCCATGGCACTGGGTCCGCAGCGTGGCACCTCTTCGGCGCAGGGTCCCCAGCACTGTAGCCAGCACAGTGCCACGACAGAGTGTCCCCAGCAGGGCACAGATTGGGCACAGTGTCCCCAGCACAGGGTCCCCAACCCGGTGCCACGGCACAGGGTCCCTGGGTGCAGCGTCCCCAGCCCAGTGCCACGGCACGGGGTCCCTGGCAGAGCTCGGGGTCCCTGGCACAGCTTGGGAGCAGCGTCCCCAGCCCGCCCAGTGCCACGGCACAGGGTCCCTGGGTGCAGCGTCCCCAGCCCAGTGCCATGGCATGGGGTCCCCAACCCAGCTTGGCCACAGCGTCCCCAGCCCGGTGCCATAGCACAGGGTCCCTGGCACAGCTTGGGCACAGCATCTCCCGGCCCTCGGGCGCAGCGTCCCTGGCGCTCTGTCGTGACACGGGGTCCCCAGCTCAGTGCCATGGCATGGGGTCCCCAGCCCAGCTCGGGTACGGCATCTCCAGCCCGCTGCCGTGGCACGGGGTCCCCGGGCACAGCGTCCCCAGCACAGTGCCGTGGCACGGGGTCCCCGGCAGAGCTCGGGCACAATGTCCCCAGCCCGGTGTGACAGCACCGCATCCCTGGCACGCAGCCATGGCACAGGGTCCCCAACCTGGCACCAGGCACCGCGTCCCCACGCCTGGCAGAGGTGTCCCCTCCCCTGGCCGACGCGTCCCCTCCCGGTGTCACTCACCGCAGCCGACCTCATCGGAGCGGTCGGGACAGTCGGGCTCCCGGTCGCATTGGTAGCTGGCATGGATGCAGCTCCCGCTCGCCACGCACCGAAACTCTGCCGGCCCGCACGCCGCGCCGGGTGCCTTGGTGGCTACAGCGGTGATGGTGACTGACCCATGTCAACCGGGCCCGTGTCACCCCGCGTGTCCCCAGCCCGGCCATACTCACGGCAATCGGTCTCGTCGGAGCCGTCCCCGCAGTCGTTCTCGCCGTCGCAACGCCAAAGCTTGAGGGCGCAGTGCCCGTTGCGGCACTTGAATTCGTTGGGTTCGCAGGGTGAGGGGGTGCCTGGG